CGGTCTTCTTTCTTTTTTTCTTCTTTTTCTCTCCTCTTTTCTCTCTGCGTGTGTGTATATGTATATCCGGCCACAGCCACCAATTTTGACCTCTTCTATCTCCTCTTTTTCTTTTTCTCTTCTTTCTTTCCTGTGGCGGTTTTCTTCTCTATTTTTCCTCTGTTTTTCTCTTCTTTTCTCTTTCTCTCAAAGATTTATTCTTTGGATTTTATCATTTTTCGCCACTTTTGCAATCTTTTCTCCAATTATTCGTCAAACATAATTTTTTACCTACAAAATACAATATAATATAAATTATGTAGAATTTTATCCAAAAAATAATAAAATATCATAATTTAGGGTATCGAATAAGTGTAGAAACTACACTTATCAATATTGTCATAGACCATAAGTTGGAGAATATTTTTCATGAAAAAAATTGTCATCAAACACCCCAAAATTAGGAATTCGTGTGGAAAAATGATATTTTTCATGGAAAATAAAGCAAATCAAACACACTCTAAGTTATAGCCTCGTTCCTACCCTTAATCGAGGGCCAAAGAAGAGGGAACTGGCATCAAGGTGAAAAACATTTGGGAGCCATTATTTTCATCCACCATTGTTATATATCCACTTTTTAAAAGAGAATTAGATTATATTGTTAATCTTATGTAAAATTAATTAAATAGACATATAAAATTAAATAAAAACATCTCTTTAAATTCATCAACTAATCGTTATTTTCATTAAATTCATTTGAACCTTTTTATATTCTTTTAGAATTTATGATTAACTACAACCCTAAAAAGCTCAAAATTAATCCTAGCCAAAACCCTTTTCATAAAGGAATCTAAAAGAAATAAGAGAAATTTGCCTTATTTTACTTGAATTGTCACACATCCACGTTAATTTAGTATAAAAACATTGACTTTAGATTTGATTTTCTAGATAAATTAAAAGATAAAATAATTATAGTACTTAGTAGGAATTAAATTACATTCTCGGTGGGTTCGACACTTTGACTTATTACAAAACTTGACTCCATATACTTGTAGCATAAATCACGTTATAGAAAGCGCGTGACAATTTTTTGGCGCCGTTTTCGGGGATTGTTTCATTTGATTCCTATTATATTATTACCAATTAGCTTTTATTTTAATTTTAATTTTTTATTTTTGCTTTCATTTATTTTCTTTCTTTCTCTGATAGTTCTTTGGTTGTTATTTTCAACTGTGTATGCGAAAAATGAGGAATTTTGAATTATTACGTGTTATCCTGAACCAGAACTCAAATCCACTTTCTCAAGGACAGAGAAACGAACGTGAAGCAATGGCAGATCAGGAAGTGAGAGCAGCCAATGAAAATAATCAACAACGGACTATTCGGGACTACGTCAGGTTGGTGGTCAATGACAATTATTCTGGAATCGAGCGCCTGGCCATTGCTGCAAATAATTTCGAACCAAAGCCAAGATTGATCCACTTGGTATAATAAAATCAGTTTAGGGGAGTTTCGACAGAATGCCCAAAATGCCCATCTGGGTTCTTTTCTGAAAATTTATGATATAGTGAAGATGAATGAAGTTACTGATGAGGCAATTGGACTCCATCTATTTTCCTTCTCCTTTAGGGATAAAGTCAAGACTTGGTTCTAGTCACTAACGTATAGTTCTATTATTACTTGGGATGACTTATCTCAGAAATTTCTCACCAAGTACTTCCCACTTTCCAAGTCAGCTCAACTTCAGAGCAAAATTTGTCAATTCAAGCAATCTGACTTCGAGCCATTTTATGAAGCGTGGTAGAGATTTAAAGACCTGCTTAGAAGGTTTCCTCAACATGGCTTTTAGAATTAGATGCAGATTGAGATCTTTTACAGTGGGCTAAATGGTTAAACAAGAACCATAGTGGATGCAGTTGTAGGGAATATTCTATTGGCTAAAACAACAAATGCTGCATATACCCTATTGGATGATATAACTACAAACAATTACCAATGGCTGAGTGAGAGATCAAGCGTAAAGAGAATAGCAGGTCTACATGAAGTAGATCGTATCACTACACTAGAAGCTCAGGTTTCATCACTTACTAATCAGATAGCTATACTTACTACTCAGAATAATCAATAGAAGACAGAATTGGTTATGGCTACTTCTTTAGCATATTAGGAGACCGAAATAGCGAATCGGTAGGCTCGATATGTCAACAGCAGGAATTACAATCAGAGAGGAAACTATTCTTCTAATCATTACCATCCAGGGCTTCGAAATCACGAGAATCTATTATATGGCAATAACAGGAATGTACTTCAACCTCATTCCGGGTTCAACACTTAACAATCAAAAGGGAAAACATCTTTAGAAAACTTCCTAGGAACTTTTATTTCTGAGACAAGTGGGCCATATTACTAAGATTTTATGTGGTTTTATTATTGCATTTTACTTAGCTTAGGTTAATTTTATCTTATTTCAGTTTTGGACTCGTTTCTAAGCAATTAGAAAAGAAAGAAGGATAAATTGGCCAATTGATGGAATTTTGGGGACTAATATGCATTTGAGTAAAAGTTGAACAACTAAAATTGAAGTAATTTGATGTGGAGGACCAAGATGAAAAAATGAAGAAAAAAGGCTGAAAAAGAAAATTTGCGAAATTTTTATAACTGTGCAGCCGCCCAGTTATATGGTCGTCCAACCCTAAACCCCACACTAACAAGGGCCATTTTTTATGCCGGGTGGCTGTCCCATTTTCTATTGGGCGCCCGCCCAGGCCAAATCAGGAAAAATTTTCTGGTTTCCTAATTTGAGTACAACTCTTATGGAAACGAAACTTGATGTGTCTTTTAAAACCCTAGGGTCGTCCAAAAGTAGGAGGATGCATTATAACTCTTTTCAAGGATTGTTACGCTTTGTGAAGATGTGTAACCATTGTCAACGTACTGGGAATATTTCAAGGCTTCACAAGCTTCCATTGACTAATATGCTCGAGGTGGAATTATTTGATGTGTGGGGTATAGACTTCATGGGTCCTTTTCCACCATTCTTTGGCCAAGTATATACCATTCTTGCAGTAGACTATGTCTCCAATGGATTGAGATCATTGCTACACCAACAAATGATGCAAATGCAGTTTTGAAGTTTCTGCAGAAAAGCATCTTCACTTGGTTTGGCACGCCTAGGGAAATAGTAAATAATGAAGGTACACATTTCTGTAACAAACTTTTCAATTCCCTTTTGGCTAAATGTAATGCTAGGTACAAACTAACACTTGGTTATCATCCAAAATCCAATGGACAAGAAAAAATCTCCAACAGAGAGACTAAACAAATATTGGAGAAGACATTGAACACCAATTGCAATGACTGGGCTCATAAACTTGATGAAGCACTATGGGCATATCGAACAGCCTTCAAAACGCCAATTGAAATGTCACATTACCGTTTGGAATTTGGAAAAGATGTCACCTACCAATTGAATTGGAGCATCAAGCATATTGGGCTATGAAGAAGTTGAATCTCAATATAAAATTAGCAGGTACACAATGCTTATTACAGCTCGACGAGTTTGATGAATTTTAGAACGAAGCATATGAGAATACGAAGATATATAAGGAGCGAACAAAGTTGTGGCACGACAAGAGGTTCCTAAGAAGGAAATTCAAACAAGGAGAATGAGTTCTTCTGTTCAATTCTTGCTTGAAAATTTTTTCAGGCAAGCTTAGATCACGATGGTCGGGACTATTCGTGGTTCATAAGGTGTTTCCCTATGATTAAGTCGAATTGGTAAGCAAAGATGGATCCATATTTCAGGTAAACGGTCGACGACTTAAACACTATTATGGTGAAGAAGATCGGGATGTGGAAGAAATTGCCCTTGGAGAATCAACATAGATCCACATTATCGTCAAGTTAATGACGTTAAAAAAACGCTTTTTAGGAGGCAACTCAAGTTCTATACCTTTATTTTAATTTAAAATTCATTAGATAGGAATTTTCCATTTTAGCTACATTATTAATGTTATTTTTGTCTTTTTATAGATACATTCTCAAGTGTTGGAGCATCAAACTTAGATGATAATGGGGACGACTACATTAGAGCTTGCAGATAATTAAAAAAAAAAAAAAAGAAAGAAAGAAAGAAGAAAAATAAATAAATAAATAAAAATGGGCACCACAACGCTCCATATTATGCCGAATTTTAAAAAATTGTGGCACTGCAGCACCCAAGTTTCTACAAATCTTGGTTAAAAAAAATGGCACCACCACACTTTAAATTACCCAATATTATTTTTCCTCTTTAAGTTTTCTATGTGTTTTCCCCTTTTCTCTTCCACCTCTCGTCTTCCCTCTCCCCCATCGAATTTCTTCCCTAATTCCTCATCTTCCCTCATCCTCTTTCCCCCACACGACACTTTCCCAATAATCACATACCCAATTCAAAACCCTAGGCCGTCTTTTCCCACTCTCACTTTTCTTAATAGATATTGTATTTTCCACATTTGATACACTCCATACCTTGGTATTTTCCTTATATTCCATCTTGTTCCCAATGTGTGCTTGGATATTGAAATTTCATTCCACATAAGGGTGTGGATTCATATTTTCTTTGGTGTATTGAGGGTTTAGTACTTGGTGTATGAATGAGATTATTGTTTACAAGGTGTTTGAAAAATTGCCTGTATGACTTCTTCGGGGAGTTAATTAAATCAGTGATCACCGAATTTTATCCTTGGTTACTACTTGCTCACCAAAGAATAAAAGGTAACTGAATACTCACCGAACTATTTATCTATTTACTCATCCATCACCATAGCTATTTCTGTCTGTACAGTTGGCAAAAAGACTGGCTTAAAATGGCATAAAATTACCAATGTGCCCCTTTAAAATAAAATTACTCCTACGAGGTTTTCTGTGTACGGGAATTTAGGAAATAATTCTTCCTTTTCTCAACAAAAACCTCCATTAACGGCCATAGAAAAGTTCTTGTCATCTCAGAAAGTTTTTCTTACCAGAAAAGCTTAAGTTCTATGCAAAACCACTCACCCTTTTTTCCTCAAAATCTGTTTTCTGGGTTTTCTTCAAGTTTTTCTGCAAATAAAGTTCCTGAAACAGGCTTTGTGAATGTGATTCTCCCTTATGCAGAGGTAACCTGGAATCAAGATGATGTTATTGGAAATGAAGTGAAATTGGCAAGTGAAAGTTTTGATCTAAGAGAGAGGAGAGAGAAAGGCCAGTCCAATGGCTATTTGATCAAGGGTCAGTGGACAGAAGAAGAAAATGGGTAACCTGACTCTATGAGAATTTTAGTTTACGCCTTTAATTTTGTTCTTTTGAATCAAAATTTTATTTTGCTTTTGTGTTTTTTTTTTTTCATTATTTTCTATTGATATGTGCTTGTTTATCCGCATAAAAGAACTATCTGATATTTTACTATAATTTGATGCTTTCCAAGCAGGAAATTGACAAAGTTAGTAATGCAATATGGTTCAAAAAGTTGGGCTGTGATAGCTGAGAAAATGGTGGAGAGAGCCGGACAGTGTCGTGAGCGATGGCTTCATCATTTGCGTCCTGATATCAAGGTTTAGTCCCAATCTCACTTTTCTAATCATCAAATTTCATGAATAATTTTGTATCTTTCAAGCAAATGCCAGCAACAACCTCATAGGAGTGAAATGGCGGTGGAAGAGAGAAGGGATTCCAAGGTGAGAGATCGGGAAGGGTGGAGATGGAGGCCATGGTGGAGGAGGAAAGAAAGGGCAATAGGTTCAATTTTTTTATTTTATTTTTTCATTTTGTTAACTGCCACGTGGATTGACTAACTGATTCTGTTTGCCACGTCATTTTCCCATCCGCCACGTGGAGTTTTTTGCCAACTGTACAGACGGAAATAGCTATGGTGATGGATGAGTAAATAAATAAATAGTTCAGTGAGCATTTAGTTACCTTTTATTCTTCGGTGAGCAAGTAGTAACCAATGATAAAATTCAGTGATCATTGATTTAATTAACTCCTTCTTCGGGTATAATATGGTCAAATTTGGTGTTTTTCTCGAGTTAGTTGAAATTGTGGTTTGAGATTGGGTGTTCGGTGTTGTCACCCCTGGCGAAAGAGGATATTTTAGGCTTGAATTATTTGGTGATATTCCACTTGCCTTTGGTATTATTGTGCAATTGCGTTGGACATAAACAACATGCCTCCCAGGAAGAAACCTAAAATTACAGAGTCTTCGTCTACCACTGCATATGATAGGCGAAGAATTGTAAGTCCCGAGGCAGATGAGAGATATAAACAAATGGTGATACACCGGAACTGCATTATGGGGAGGGGTTTTGAACATCTATTGCCCGAGAAAATACAGAGTTTGGGGTGGAACAAGTTTGCTATACAACCAGAAGCAGCTTCCATTCTTTTGGTGAAGGAGTTTTATGTGAATGCAAATGAGCACGAGGACTTCAAATTATTTGTTCAGAGTCACTGGATCCAATTTGATAGAGCTTCCATCAACTCCTTCTACCACACACGAGATATTCCCAATGATGACTACTCCAGGTTACGTGATGAAACGGTTGAACCCGCAGTATTACTTCAGACAGTGACTCGCGAAAGTACCGAATGGAAACGGCCTACCAGTGATGTGAATAATTTTCCCGCCTCAAGTTCGACAAGTAATTGTAAAGTTTGGCATCACTTTATATCAGTTAAAGTAGTTTCGAGCAACAACATTAGTGAGGTCACAAAGAAGCGGGCTTTATTGAATTATGCAATTCAACGGGGATACTATATCAACATTGGGAAGGTCATTCAGAACAGTGTATTGCACATCTTAGTAAGGTCAGCCACTGGGAGCTTGGGACACCCCTCCTTAATCCATGATCTATGTATATAAGAGAGTGTTACCACATGGAAATCTGAGAAAGTATTACATCCCAGGCCCATACTCACGCGGGACTTCCAGAACAAGCTCACGGGGTATCGGGACAGGCCAAGCTCCTCTCAATCATCTCATTCGGCCCCACCTCATCCACCATCTCTCAAGCTGGTGATGCTACAGGGAAAATACTTAGGCAACTTGAGGCAATGGACTTGCATATGACTCGATGGCAGGAAGGAATGCAGGTGTGAATGGATCAATTGCAGACCTCCATTTATGACTAGTTTCATTATCAGAATGCTTGTGTTACGGTCATGGCCTTTGCACACCGCGATCTTACATTCCCTCCACCACCGTTGTTTCCATCTTGCTCCCAAAATCTAGCTCCACCATATGGCGACAAGGACATTTGATGTTTTCACTGAGATATCTGTCCCTTTTTTTTTCATTTTCACATTGGAGATAGTGTTCTTCAATTTTGGGGTGATACTTTAACATAGTTGTCGTCTAACGGTTTAATTTTATTTGTGTGTGTTTATTTATATTTCTTAGTGACTTGTGCGTAAAAAAAAAAAAGAATAATAATAATAATAATATACATATATTTGGAAATATGACTTAGGGGGTGTTTGGTAGTGATTTGAGAATTGATTCTCAAATCAATTCTCATTTTCAATCACATATTTTTCAATGAAATAATATTTTCTATCACATTAATAATTTTTTCTTCTTTTTAAACCACGCATTTTCCATCATATCATTATTCAAAAATCAATTCTTCCCCCAAACATTCCTATCAAACAAGCTCTTGATTGTGAATTATGAATAAGTTTTNACCCCCAATATTTCTTGGAATGCTGAGCATCTTAAGAAATATTGGGGGTGTTTCGTAGTGATTTGAGAATTGATTCTCAAATCAATTCTCATTTTCAATCACATATTTTTCAATGAAATAATATTTTCTATCACATTAATAATTTTTTCTTCTTTTTAAACCACGCATTTTCCATCATATCATTATTCAAAAATCAATTCTTCCCCCAAACATTCCTATCAAACAAGCTCTTGATTGTGAATTATGAATAAGTTTTTCTTGAGTGGAAGTCTTACTTACCTTTGCAAAAAATTGTGACATGAATGCGAGTGAATTGAATATAGCGTTAGACAAGAATAAGTTGACTCATAAATATTATAGGTTGAATTAGCGACCCTAGAATCTGAATCCAAACAACCTCTAAACATTGCCATATCCTTGAACCAAATTTAGGATGTTTGGAAAATTAAGCTGTTGTAGGGAAACTTGAAGATAAATGTGGATTCCATGTATGCTAAATTTTGTGTGAATTATCTGAGACTAATATGATGAAAATTGGGTAAAAACCCTAAGTTATAGGTCCGTTTTTTAAAATGAGTGTTTTATAAAGGGCATTGCACTAATCACTACATAAAAAACTGTTGTGAAGCTACCATAAAAGATCCCTATGAGGACCACTTTAACAATCTCATTCTGAAACATTTCTTCGTAGCATTTATAATTCGAGTGGATAAGTCTGTAAGGGTTTAAAACCTAATGCCCTAAAATCCTCTGACTTGAGAGTCATTGGCCTAAAACTCGCTATAGGGGTCATTTAGAAAGTTTAATGGAAAGACATCCACACATAAGATTGATTAAAGAATATATATATATATCAGAGGATTAAACTTTTGATAATGGGTTAGTAAATTAATTGATTCTTGGAGGTTGATGTAGTAAAAAATAAGGGGAATTCTCATTTGTCGATATGTTGAATTGCAATCAGTAACATCTATCCAAACAAGAGAGGATAAGGAGTAGTGATTTGTAAACCAATCTTAGATTATGTTCTCGGGAAAAGAGTGAAAAGTAATTGAGTTTGAGGGTGTGCGAATTTCACAAGCGGGGAAAGAAAATAATTGACTCTTAAGATCAAGAATTGAATCGACTTATAACTGCAATGCTATATTTGATTCTCCACACACACCCATTTTGCATTGGTAAGAGAAGAATTTGGCTTTTGCACTATAACTTTGAAATAGTTCATGAATTCGATATCACATCTTCAATGCTGAGCCCTAAAAACAAGCTATCCAACTAAATTATGTATTTGAGTCTTTTGGTAGTGTATTTTATTTGTGTTCATAAGTTATATTTGTGTGCTATTCTGTATTTGCTCGAGGACAAGCAAATAATAAAGTTTGGGAGTGTTTGATAAGTATAATTCACCCATTGAACTAATACTTCTAAATTTTGTAGATTTCGAGAGAAAATATAAAATTTGTGAGGCTTATCCCATTTAAGAACCATGTGCATGATAATTTCTATAGTTTTAATTCGGAATAGAGATATTGGAATTAAAATATAGCAATCAGTTCTATTCAACACTCGAAAGAGGGAATTGAATTAACCTAAGGTTCTTGCCTATAAATTCAGGAAAATTTGATAGAACTTTGGAAAACATTGTTGATAGTGAGGTGAAATTAATCCCTAGGCCTTCTCACGTTGATAATCCTCCTTTAATTTGTCTTATTTTACTTGAATTGTCACACATTCACGTTAATTTAGTATAAAAACATTGACTTTAGATTTGATTTTCTAGATAGAGTAAAACCTAGAATAATTATAGTACTTAATAGGAATTAAATTACAATCCCTACGGATTCGACGCTTTGACTCCATTACTATATTATAAAACTTGACACCGTACACTTACGACATAAATCATGTTATAGAAAACGTATGACAAAATTGCTTTCACTTAACTATAATGAATGTGTAATTGATTGATTTTAAATTAAATGTTGAACAAAATTATTACAGCTGTCACCAATATGCATGATTCAATATGGGAGAGACGGAAAGTGGAGTTGACGGAACAATGTTTTGAAGATCAATATTTACAATGTTGCAAATGCATTCCGATCTTGGCTATATAACCTTTTTTTTTTCCTTTTCCGAGCTACGTAACTATTGTTTTCCTCATGATGTTATAAGGTATCATAATTTGGATTGAAAAATTAGTCGTCAATCCCTTCTTCAAGAAGAATAATAAGCATAAAGAAAATCAAGAACAAGGAAAAATAAGAATAGTGATTTTTAAAATTTTTGAAATTGTAACGGGGGATAGATTCAGAGTGGGATACATATATATAAGTGATGTGGATATGTAATGTTCAAATTAATGAATTTAATAAGGACAGTATTGGAATGCGATGTGGATGAAAATAATATTTTTTAAAAAAAATTTAATAGGAAATATATAGAGTGTGATAGATATATAAAATTGATGGAGGTAAATATAGCGGCTCCCAAATACTTTCTTCTTCCTCAATTTTTTTAAATTAACTTTTATACCTCGAAAATAGAATTACATAATTAATGGTTTTCAAATGCTAATATGTTAAGAAATTAATGTCAAGAGAAATTGAAAAAAACAAAAAAAAAATACAAGTACTTACATATAGGCCCATTTGACATGATTTTTTATAAGTCAATGAGCTTTTGAAAAAAAAAAAAAAAAAACTTGAAAGTTGCTTTTGGATCAATTTGATTAATTTTATAGAAGTCTTTCTTTTAATTAGAAGAGTTTTTAGAAAAATCTGATCCATTATAATTTCCACTAAAAGCTCTTCCTTCGTTTTATAAATTATTTTTCTAATACTAAAGAGGCAGTTTTCTCTCAAGTCTCTTCTACAAAAAGAAGTAAAAATAAAAATCATGTCAAACAGAAAAGTATAATCAAAACTACAAGTGCTTTCACTTTGATAACATCAATACTCTAAGTAAACATGATTTCAGAAGTAATTTTAATTTTAATATTTCGTTTATATAATTCTATAGTTTCATATTTTATTATTTTCGATTTTTGAATTAAGTTTTCAAGTTTTATTAATCCGATTAAAACTAGTGCTATTAATCCGTTTCATATTTTATTTAATTACACTTGAGTCTAGCCATGTCAACGAGCCAGCCAAGCCGAGCAAAAGCTCAGCCAAAAAAATAAAGCTCAGCCCGAGCCTTAGCGGGCCGAGTCGGCTAGTTTTTCTTTTTTTTTTTTAATTCATTATAATTTTATAATTTTTTATAATGTATTTAAAATTTGTGCAATTTATACGTATTATAAATAATAATTAAATATTAATATATATAAAAAAATAAATCTAAACTT